TTTAGGGTTTAGGGATTAGGAGTTCTTTAGGGTTTAGGGTTTTAGGGTCTAGGGTTTAGGGATTAGGGGTTATTTAGGGTTTAGGGTTTTAGGGTTTAGGGTTTAGGGATTGGGGGGAATTAGGGTTTAAGGTTGACCATCAAAGCTGAAGCCCTCGCACCGAATTCCCACTTCCGCAACTAATGGGCAAGCGAAGCCAACCTCAGCTGTGGGCAAGTTTCGCCAAAGCTTGTGGTCAACGTGTGATGTGGAAACTCGAATGCTGTTATCAGCATGAACCTTGCTGGATAACATGCCTTTTTCGTGACAGCAGTTTGTACTCGTACTCTGGTTGTTACGAAAACCTTCACACAAGCCATGCCATATCGCGCCCACAGTACAAGCGTCGAGAACAAGTGTCACGGCAGCAGTACCAGTACTCACCTTTAGTCCGTATCTATGCATCATCCCAACGAGACTCGTCCTGATGCAACCAGCATTGGCATTAGCAATAGCAATAGAAGTGCGAGTCGCAGGAGCAGCAGTTCAACTCAAACTCGTACTGCTGACATTCCTTTGCATATCAACATGGACTTAGAACATGGACTTAGAACCCTCGTCCCGCTTCCTAAAGAAACTATCTGGGTAGTAGGGTCACCGTCTACTGACCCCAATGTCGGCTCCTCCAGTGATAGTTGCATTCGAGCCCAGGCGTCTCGTCTCTTCCATGGCTCCGAGGACCAAGAAGACGAAAGGCCCGCGGCTCGACTATTGATCTGCGCCGTGCTGGCAAGTTGTGCACAGGGTCTATCACGCTCGGGAGGCGTTCTCTCTGAAATTTGCAATAATGGGTATAGGCCCAAACCCATAAGGGTAGAGTTTATGGTCGGGTCTGTTAAGTCGAGGGTCCCCAGCCATTTCTATGAGAGTCTCCCTTTCCCGGCTACCCAAATGCAATCGGTTCTTCCGACATCACTGGAAACCAGTAAGGCGGAGCAGTGAAGTCCCTCTTCTGGGAAAGGGTTCTGTAAGGCTAAAAAAGCAGTCTACTAGCCTACCAGGTTTGGCGATACTTCTGCAAGTTTTGTGTAAGAGTTTTATTCTGGCAGTCGCATGCAAACAAACGGTTGTCTGAAAAGAGTCCTGAGTCCTGTTCTTCAGAACCTTCCCAGCGCTAAACTAGCGCATACAGGCGCTTTGAATCCATGAACCTATTGAGCGAAAGTTAGATGAATGCAGGTCAAGGAAATTGGCGATGCAAATGCGGTCAAGCCCCACACCTCGCCCTTTTCGGATGGAAGAAAGGGTGCTATGTTCACATGTACGGATTACATGCCCTTAGCCCACGGTTTATAGAGATTAGCTGCTAACTTGAGCCATCAAGCCGCGGCCCCAAGTCTTGAATCATTGAACCATGTACCGATAAGCTTGCTTTGCGACTTCTCTGATGTGCCTGGAGCAAGAAGACCAAGATGTGAAAACCTTAAACTTTAACTCTTGGACCGGAATTCTAATGTGCATGGAAGACCACGCCGAAAACGAGAAGACTAGGTGTGAGGCTTTAGCTTTGAGGGTACAGGTTTAGGAACCGTCCGGAATATGTAGCGAAGGTAAACGCAAACCGCAGTTGAAGCATTATTCTAATATTGGCAAATAACCCTACCCTCCACCAAGAATCTTGGCATCTCCGTTGAGATGGTTGCAGACTCGGTCTTACTTCAATGTGGGAGTTAGCCCAAGGAGGGGCAAAAAATGTTAAGCTCGCGCAGCCATAACCTATGTTTTGCAAAGCCTTGCTAGAAAGCCCGGGGAATCGAACAGCACTGCATAGCATTAGAAGACTAAGCCACTTCAGGTCAACTTACGTCGGGCCTAAGGTGTACCGCAAAGGCAAAGGGTCTTGAATCCATTCTGCCGGCAGCAGAGTCGTTATGGCTCAGGGCTTTAGACCAGAACCAGCAGAGAAACTCCGGCTAGTTCGATTGTGCAGAATCAAGATTTCCAGGACCCCACAGCTACAGCGCGCAGGATTTTACGGTGTTCGGAATATTTGGATACAGACTCGTGAAAATCGAAACCCCAAAATGCTACAAAGTTTTGTGCATCCAGACAGCCTCGAACTCCACAGCCTAAGCTCTGCCTTGCAAGGTTTGGGGTTTAGGGTTCCTACACGCTCTGCCCTTCTCCACACCCTCCCTAAAGCTTATAGCCTTATCCTGCAGGTGCCCATCTTGAAATAATTACGCTCCAGCAAGACCCATGGGATTTCCCAGAGAGTCCAACACTCCTCGCTTGGATTTTGCCTCAAACTACCAAGGGCTCCCACACGCAACATTTTTAAGTAGCAGGTACCGGTTTGCCCCGGTACCACAACCTACACTCAAAATAACCTAAAGCCTGAACCCCGTCCGACCCTGAGAACGGAAGCGCACTCGCTGAACTTGACGAACCGCGCAACACGGCGCACAGCCTTCTTACTCCTCAGAGCGATCCACATTCAGTGTGTTTTTGTCTTTGGGGCCTTCAGTTTACAAGACCTCCATCCGAAAGCTCCGCCACAAGGCTCAGGCCAAGTCTAATGAAGGCTAAAAATGTTGCAACTACTTGCGGATGTGCTTTTAAGCATAATAAGTAATATCTATAGGAAGTTTAGATTTGTACGTACGTATGTATGTATGCATGTATGCATGTATGTACGTATGTACGTATGTACGCATGTATGTGTATATATATATATNNTATATATACATATGTATGTATATGTAAGTCTGTCCTTTTCCGCCTTTGTTTGCTTTCCTGCGCAAGCCCGGCTTCAAACATGTATCAGGAGGCTTAGAGAGCAAGCAGATCAATATGATTTTGGACGGGGCTTCAGGGATTTTGTGGTCTAGGACAAATCGACCATTCCCCTCGACCTCACATGGTGGTGTGGCTCTTGCTAGAGAGGGGTCCACCATGCACGGTTGCATTCATTACTGTAAAGACTCCCTGGGACCGTCGGAACCTCGACGCTCTGAGGGGCGAGCATCACAGTGTCCTTCTTGGTCTTCTCGAAATCCTGCGCATAAGCCGACACGGTTCCGCCGCAAACCCGGGACTTATAACAAGTGATGGTAAGACCCGACAGAAGAACCAGGGCTCCAGATACAAATGAGATGCTTCACCAGCTTACGAGATGGACCGGAACTTGCAGACCTCAAAGACCATAGCAATCCTCAATAGCTTCGGTGCGGACAGAGTCCGAGGCAGTGCTCTCTGCGTATCCATCATGGCCTGAACCCCCACTGAGATTTAAGAACCTGAGCCCCAATTGCAGCATGCTACGTCTCTCTTGCGAGAGCTAGTGAACGTCAACGTCATCAAGCTACGAAACTTCGTGAACAACACAACAAAGGCCCCAATGGCAAAGCAAACCAACCAACGCATCATCTGCGCTGTGAACCTGCGAAACCGTAACCTCAATCCGAAACCCCTGATACCCCTCTTTCTCTCTCTCTCTCTCTCTCTCTCTCTCGCTCTCTCTCTCTCTCTCTCTCTCTCTCTCTCACGGACTCAGAGGTCTGTCA